TGGTTTCCTTTGCTGTTCATAGTGCTCAATGTTATTTTTGCCACTCAAAATAGCGTTATCTTGTCTACGCCTAAAACCTGTAACACTTGCTCAAAAGCTTTAACATCGACATTTTGACACCCTTATTGAGTGTCCCTAATGGCCTTTGGACCCAGTGCTAATCGAGAATTTATTAAGAACACTGTAACCCTCCAACTCATTGCTACTTTCTTAACAACGATCCGGTTAAGAGCATAGCTAACCAAGTAGACTTGGGTGTTGTTATCAGCAATGACCTAAAGTGGTCCCCTCACATCGCCAGCTGCACTGCAAAAGCCAATCGTATGCTTGGTTTTCTTCGTAGGAATTGTACGCAAATGTCTGATATTCGCAGCCGTAGGCTTCTTTATCTAGCTCTCGTCCGATCTCATCTGTCATATGGTAGTGAGATCTGGGCACCTCAAGGATCGTCACGTGATCTTGCGATCATCGAGGGTGTTCAAAGACGAGCTAGTAAATTTATCCTTCAGGATTATGAGTTGCCATATCCTGAACGCCTTAAAAAGCTTAATTTATTACCAATATCCTACTGGATGGAACTAAAGGATCTCGTCTTCTTTTTTAAATGTAAGCACGGTCTCTTCGACCTAGATATCTCCTCTTTCGTCACTTTTTCTTCCAACAGCTCGTCTCACACCCGTTCAAGTTCGGACAACTTGCTTCGTGTCAATCATTGCAGGACTTCTCTCTTTAGGAACTCTTTTTTCAACCGAATTGTCTTTCTCTGGAATAATCTCTCTCCCACCATTCGTAATAGTTCATCCGTTTTCTCCTTTAAAAACAGACTAACTGTTCATTACTCTTCTCTACTTCATTCATCTTTCGATGTAAACAGAATGCGCACTTGGAAAACCTTCTGTTCTAAGTGCCGCTCTTTCAACTTAAGCTGTTGTTCGTAATTCGTCATGTTTTCTGTAAATTTTATATTTGTTATCGTCTTTGATTTATGTTTGTAGTTTGTTTTCATTAAGGTTGGTCTTCATATGGGGCTATTCATGTCCTGTTGACCATACCTTCAACCATATTATGTAGTGTTTTAGTCTATTTTATGTATGGTTGTAAAGTTAATAAATAAATAAATAAATAAATAAATTAAACAAAACTTGACTACTTTTTCATGCAGTAGAATCAAAATTACTAAAATGGCGTCCTTAATAAATTAAATCGATACCTTATCTTGTTTCAATGTTTCATATAATTATGCATCTATGCTTTGTAATTTTCACGGCTTCACGCTCGTCAAGAGAGCCCCCCCCCCCTGGTAAATTTAGTTCTACAGCACTGCTTGGACCCCCTTTGACGGACAGCGCCCAAAGTAATTGCACCACTCACTGGACATTTTTTTTCAAAATTCTTACTATGGAAATAGTATGGATCTTATTTGACAATACTCAGTTGTATGGAAATCCAATTTTCATACTAATTGCAATTTCCATGCTATGGATATAGTATGGAAATAGTATGGATGAATGTCACTATATTTTTCCAGTGACTATGCTATACCCTTTTCCTGTCAGAATGAAAGGAAAGTATCTAGAACGTTTAGAGTTATGAGTAAGATTGATAACAATTGGGAGCGAGGGGGCCGGGAAGCAGTGGAATTTAGGTTACGTGTTTTCCCACGAGTTACTGTATCTTACCTATAGGGACCTTAAGCATGTAACGACGGCAACGCGACGACGATAGTCAAAACATTAACTTCTTCAAATAAATTATTGCGAAGAAGAGTTGTTGTGTATTATTATCCAATGCATGTATATATGAATTGAGTTCAGTTTGAAGAGATTAAAACAAAGGCTTTATGGTTAAACACGCTTCTGCAAACAAATTTGTAGTTTCATTTGTGGCGTCTTGACATGTTTGCGTTGTACACGAGACGTGAAAATCTCTGGTTCGCCGTTGTAAAAAGCCCTAATACAACGTCTCTAACTCCCGTGGGTCTTTTAATTATTCCTTTTATACGAGATCAGGAATATCATTGTGTGAATAGCCGTCGTCGTCGCGTTGCCGTCCTGTTTGCTTAAGGTCCCTAATATGCAAGCTGAAAGAAACAATGAACAAAGAGCTGACAACATTCGACATAATACACAAATAAGATAGGGGCAGTAGACAAAAGCAATGGGCCAATTAGTCTTTCTCACGACCGATTTTCCCGCCATTTTTGGGATACTGCCTCTCGCACATTTGAGAGTCTCCGCACCACGAAATGCGACTTCTTAATTTTATAGTTGTTTGTATAATGGTAAATATACAGTTACAACCTTTAAAAGTCGCTTTTCACGTTGTTTGAATTATCCAAAATCTTTCACGAGGGTAGACAGTACCCCCAAAATCGCGGATTTCGGCCTTCGTGAGAAAGGCTAATTGCTAAGGCTAAGCACACCAAGTTATGGAAAAGCTCAGGCGAAATCAACATGCTTGAATTTTGATGTAATAATTAAAGTATCTGCTGCACGTTTGTTACCAGTTTGGTGCCATTGCAGTTCCAGCAATTCACCTGTTATGGGATTGTGAGATTTTACAGTGCTTGTTTGGAAGACATGATCTTACTAGGCCTTTCCTGAGAAAGCAATAACGACCAAGTGACCAAAACCTCGTCAACCACGCTCTTTGAGGTTGCCAAGAGAGGAATGTTTAGGTGTCGACGTCTTGCTTCCATTAATCTCCGCTCACTATAGTCTCGTCCGTACCCAGCGAAACTTTACTTTGAATTATGCAACCAACGTTTATCCTTGCTGCGATGAGTATAGGTTTTAGAAACATGTTCCTAAGAACCAGATTTCCAACGACGCCTGAGAAGTCTTGAAGACCGTTTTGCTGCTTTTGGATTTTGATTTGAGTTTTGATTTTGAGATTTAATGTTCTGTTTAATTTTGAGTTTTAAATTTTAGTTTTTATTTTAAGTTTAATTTTGAGTTTCGAGATTTTTATTTTTAATATCATTTAATATCATTTTTAATTTTTAGTCATGAACTTGTCAGGTTGGCATCTTGTTTGACTTTCACACCGACCATAAAATTAATTTCTGACTCATTCTGGCTGTCAATTGGATCATCAAAGCTTTTAAAAAAAGTTCGAATATAACTTTTCGAAAAAGTTATATTGGATCAAACTTATAATTTTGTTAGTAAAAATAAACTTCTTTCGGAATTATACAACCTGGTTTTAGGTTTTTATACATTTTACTCTCACAACCCTATTGGATATTACTGACAGATGACATACCAATATAGACAATGGTTTGATAATTTCCATTCTTTTTATCGATCTTAAAAAGGCATTTGATACCATTGAACATGGTATTCTTTTGAACAAACTATATCATCACGGTTTTAGCAATAAATCCACGTACAGAACTCTTTCAGAATTATTTAATTGATAACGTAAACAAATTACATATGTGATAATGTGAATAGCTTTCCTTTAGATTATTCTAACATAATTTGTGGGGTACTTCAAGGATCTATTTTGGAACCGTTACTATTGTCGTTATTACATATTAACGATCATTATTCGGATTCTCTCTGCTATGGATAGTGATTTAAATGTGCTCAAAGATTGGCTAAATAGGCCTACAAATAAACTTAGCTTACAAATTTGAAACAAAATGTATGTTCATTACTAGCTTCTCGACAAAAGTTGCTGCCTTACCAAATCAACCACTGTTTGAAATAGATGGCAAAAATTAACCAAGTAGAGAGTGTTGCGTACCAGTTTTAAATGTTCAGGTCTGGAATTAAAGTGGATGCTCATATATACTAAATGATCTCAAAAGTAGCCAAAGTTATTGGCGTTTTTGACGATATTAAAATAATTTGGGCATCTCACTCGACAGAATTAATTGCAGAAGGGTTCTGTAGATGGGAATTTCGAGTGTAAATTATATACATTTAATAACCTTTCTTCAATTAGTTCTATCGAGTGAGATGCCCCAAAGCATATTTACCCACACACACTTATATTGGCAATAAAATTAAATTCCATGCAGGTAGACCAGACTTAATAATTGAACATTTGTAAATATTATTTCTGATAGAACCCCGTGTTTAAATAAAAAATTATCTATATATCTATCTATTGGCATCACCTTAGTATACATGAACTTGTGGTTAGAGCTTGCCAACTGGACTCTGTACCTGGGTTGGTTAGATCGCTGGACCGCCATCGCTGGGCCGCAGGTTCGATTCGCAGGTCCGTAGAGGGGGGGGGGGGGGGGGGGGGCAGGGGGGGGGCAAATTGCCCCGAGGTGCTGGGGGCCCTGAAAATTTTTGTTGGGCCCCAGTCTTTTTTGTGTGTTAAATATTTCCGCGCAAAGGACAAGATATCTGTTTTTTTGGGCCTAATACCGAATTTTGGCATAAAAAAATGATATCAAGTCCCTGGAAAGCAATTGCAACGTATTCGTCCGGAAAATTTTTTGTACCCCTAAAATGGTACACTGACCGAATTTTTTTTGTCGACGGGGAGGGAGGTTCTCCGAAAAAAATTTTTCCGGAAAATTTTTTTAGATAGGGGCGGCTAAAAACATTTGCCCCGAGCCCCCGCCAACCTCTCGGCGGCCCTGTCGATTCGTAGCGGAGGCCCTATATTGCAGTTTTCGAATTACATGCTGCTGGTTAGGTTTAAATTTATATGATTTATTAATAACACTCGAAAATGATTTCCGTATACAAAACGTTTCTGCAATTGATGCGACGAAGTTGCCATATTGTGAAGCCTGGGGCTCTTATAAGTGCTGCTGCAAACAAAATTTAGACTGTTTGCGTCTCTGCGACATTTGAGCAGTTATAATAAATTAAACACGCAGGGCGCATTGGTGCAGATTGCGATTAAATTGCTTGACCTGCTAGTATACCTCGGTCGTAATGTACTTGATCATCCAAAAATAACGTACACTTATACTGAACGATTACCATTAAAGTGTTGAAATTTAAGTAAAATTATTTTCTGCTCGTTGTTGATATAGAACGTGATTGTTACGGTTCGAAAAACAATGGGTTCGCTGTCATTTATAGGATGGTAAGATATATCTTTCCATTTTAAAATTGTTATTATAATTTTATTTAAGAAGCTTAATGATTGATATTAATTTATTAACATCTTCCTTTTATCTATTTTTAGTTTTTTCATAATAGTTGTGATTTGGTTATTCAAGAAGTATCAAATATTTACGCAGGTATATAATAATTATAGTCTAAACGAATATAATATACTCTTATGATGGGTGTAGGCTACATGACGCATTTGCGAATTACCGTTCCCTATCTCAACAGTGCTTTGTACATTGAGCGTGGTGCTGTATGTCTTTCATTTTGTGTAAATTTGAAATGCGACATTCAAATGCAAGGCTAGAAAGATGAAAAGCGAAGAATAAAGTATAAAACGAAAAATAACTGAAGGATCTTACGTGTCTTCTGCTAGTTGAGTTTGAAATACACGAATAAAAGCAAGAAAAAAACAATGAACGAATTAACGGCGTTTTCGTTCGACCTTTTTGATATTTTTACTGGAACTTTAGTAGGTAAATAAGATTTCTAATAGTTTTATGCTGTTACAAATACAAATCATTTTCACTGCTTTTAATTTTTTGAGAGCCAAATGTTGTTTTGTGCGACAAATCATTGTTTGTCGAAAGAGTTATAAAAATGCAATGTATATATTTAGTTCGTGTGTTGTGACCTCGAAAAGTGGCTAGAAAACGATTTTCATTAAGCATGTCTTAGATCTGAAATATTTTTACGGGAACGAACACTATCCCTCTCCGTATAGACCCGCAGTTTTCTCACAAAATGCTATTTTATCTTCAATAATTTCACGACAAATTTTTCATTCTTCAACGACACGGATCGATGACGATACACGATTATGTCACTCAAAAGGACCAATTTCTATTAACCAGTCTTCCTTTTAACAAAAGACCGGTTTTTCTCGAATCATTTTGAGTTATGCAAGCCTATCGTGTCGAACGTAAACAACATATCTTGTCTACAACTTTGGGAAGGTATATACAGATAATTCTTTCTAAAATCCTTAGTGTTGGCTCTATCTCTATAAAATCACAAGGACGTTAATGTTAAGTCTTTGGGATATGTCTCTGGGCTGAGAAATAATTCCTTACATGCATGCGATTAAACTGTTTTATACAAAGTATAGTTTTATACGGTACTCTTATGTAATGGATCAGCATTTAAATTTCCAACACAGTTTCTGAGACGTAATTCAAGAGCTAACTTATCATTGCATTTGAACTATTACATCAGTTGGTGTTATGCTGTCGATAAGCGAATATTATTGGAAAGAGGGCTTCGATATACGTTGAAATCACCAAATAAACAGCTCATGCACACATTTCCCCACTTCGTCGTAAGTTTACAGAGCATATTTTATACTTTGGGACTGATCTTTGTCTTTGATGTGAACATTTATTCTTATAGTTTAAGGTTATCTAAGATTGATCCTGTCGTAAGTGTTCTATACCAGCAACCAATCGACAATATTTCATTGTAGCGTTGTCTTTGCCGTTACGTTGGCTTCGCGTTACTTTTGTTTTAAATACCTAGCTTGATCGCGTTAAAAGAGTTATTTTTCAGGCCAGTGACATAGCCAAAAGACTTCGCATTAATGTCCTTGTGATGTTATAGAGATATTTCTAGAAATGAGGATTTTAGAAAGCGTTATCTGTACTTTCTCAAAGTTGTAGACATGCAAGCAAAACCAGTCTTTTGTTAAAAGGAAGACTGGTTAATAGAAATTGGTCCTTTTGAGTGACATAATCGTGTATCGTCATCGATCCGTGTCGTTGAAGAATGAAAAAATTGTCGTGAAATTATTGAAGATAAAATAGCATTTTGTGAGAAAACTGCGGGTCTACGGAGCGGGAACTTTCGAATTTGAACTCAGCGTACTGGCATGAAAGTGTTAGTTTCCGTAAAAATATTTCAGATCTAAGACATGCTTAATGAAAGTGAACGATATCGGGTCACAACACACGGACTAATTAAAACAGTTGTTGAATCAGTTCGGTTTTTGTGATATCCCGAATTATTAACGTCTCGGTAAGTGTTATCGATCGAACCGAAGGCGAGAGCGGTAATTACACTTACCTCGACCCATGATAATTCTGGATGTCACAAAAACCTCATCCAATAACAGCTACAATTATAACATGTATAATTAATTAAAATTCTGGTAACCTTATACTGTACGCATACTGAAAAAAAAACATTTACTCAATTATTTTTCCAGCGTCTTATTCTGTATTTGAGTATCGCAGCGTTTTTGGATAGTATTGCATATGTGATGGTAAGTCCGTTCATGGTCCATTTGTTACTATATAGTTACGTACAGTTGTGCTATTTAAGGGGCGTAAATCCTGGTGGTTTGGGGTGTGTGTGACGCCCCCTAATTTTTGAGAAAAGCAATTTTGTATAGGGCGTGTTTATCAAGTATTCAAATGATGTCGAGTAAGAACATCAAAACCTAAGAGTCCAGTCGTAAAATCCTCCTCCAAAGTGTACCAAATGGCGTTTCAGAGACAGTAAATTTCACAGTTTTCTTGGGGAGTATCCCCCCACACCGTCCTAGAGATCTTGTGCCTTTGCCACTCCAAATTTGTGCCTACACAACATCGTCCCTAGTCTCACGGATCAGGTCCACTGCAAAAAGAAACGTAGCATAGGCCTGAGGACGAGGATGGTGTCTTCAACGATACCCTCCGGACCCTCATAAACTTTTTAGCTTCCCCAACATCTTTACGTTTTTTTCTGACAGCACCTTTTTTGTCAGGCAAAGCGATTCCACACCCCCTAATGTTTAGGCCCACGTTACGTCCTTGGATGCTTTCGAAGATTATTCCTGTAGAATGTAAACAAAACTTGTAGATTATCAATTGAAAATTTCGTCAGTTCACATCTCTTAGAAAATTTACGAGTGCATCTTTTATGTTAAACACACAAGAATTCTAATAATATATTTTATATATATATATATATATATATATATATATATATATATATATATATATATATATATATATATATATATATATATATATATGCATGTACTGTGTATCACACGAGTCAAGGGTATATTTACCACCAAACACCAGCGGGTCCATAGTGATCGCCAATGAAAGGAAGGCAAGCAACAATTAACGGCACTCCCCATGAAACAACGTGGTACAAACTATAAAATAATCTGTACTTTGCAAAGGGAATTTACGAACTCGAGTCGAATATACGTAGCGCCGAATCGGCTATCGCTCATATTCGACGAGAGTGAGTGGAATAACTGTTTTATTATATACACAAGGGTCAGATATTTTCAACAAAATATTCCTTATCCAATTATTATATATATATATATATATATATATATATATATATATATATATATATATATATATATATATATATATATATATATATATATATATATATATATATATATATATATATATATATGTATATATATTTACGAACTCGAGTCGAATATACGTAGCGCCGAATCGGTTATCACTCATATTCGACGAGAGTGAGTGGAATAACTGTTTTATTATATACACAAGGTCAGATATTTTCAACAAAATATTCCTTATCCAATTATTCATGGTTTCCGAATTACTTGAGTACTCGTACATGTAGAAGAATGGATTATTTAACTAATTAATGATTATATAGAATACAAAAATAAATGTTGTACAGTTACCACTGCAATGTGTAATATTATGCATACATTATTCAATGCTTAGCAATTACAGTATAAAGTAGAGAAACTAAACCCTTCTATATCTATTTCTAAGTTCTCTTCAGTATTTTCATAACATTTTAACTTTTAAGCCTGGATTTGTACCTGACGGAACCTTATGTGAATTTCAAGCATGGTGGTTATCCTTTTTTGGTGTGTATATTGCGTTATGTTCTACTTTTAAAATGCTTTGTACAACGCTGTATACTGTATATAGTTTACCGATTAATACATGAAGTGTTTTCGTTGTGTTTTCATTTGGATACACATCGAATTTTAATCCAATGAATTGCAGCAAAGGACCATAAATAAATATTTATTAGAAAATATATTATTAAAAAAACGTCATCAAGTTTAGATTAGTGTCAGATTAAAATTAGATTAGGGTTAGATTAAGATTATATGAGGGGTTAGAGTATAGGATTAGGTTTATCTATCGATTCCAATAAGTTATTGCGCGAAATTATTGTAGTGATAATTTCCGACGTGTTTAATTAACAATTTACTCATATAGTAAATTCAAAGGTCGAGCTGAAAATAACACAAAATTGCTCATTGAACTCACAAAATTGCTCAATAACACAAGAGAGTAGTTCAGCTTGATTGCCGACAGATGTGCATATTTGAGATGATGGAATGTAGTACAATGGCTTCAGTGACAATGAAATTGATATGTATTAATAATGGTTGTGCATATATTCACGATGGTGGAATATATATATTTTGTTTCACTTTTGTTCTAAACGGTCTGTAGAGGTTCCAACAATATATCTGTAAAAAAGTCTGTGGAGGTTCCAACAATATATTGTACGAATGCCGCTTCCAAGTTGTCATTCTGATTTTTTCTGTTTTTCTTGTAGATTGGTCTGTGCTGTTATGGGCCTGTTGTATTACGTTCAACCTATATCAAAATGCAATCAGAGGTGTACAAACCGAAAGATATGAAATGTATGTCAGAAGTGTATTCTTAGGCATGCTGTTATTTATATTTATAACATAGCATTTGTAAATTCTGAACGCTGATATTGGCTAAGAGCCGTGTTGATATAACTCAATTTCAACACGGAAACGTCGGAAAATTTCTTTCTTTATGTTTCTTTGTGCTGTATTATAAAACAAATATAAAATTTTTTTTCCGTATTGATATACAGTTATACCAACACTCGTGGAAATTGGGACAACTCGAAATTGTGTGAAAACACTCCGGCCTTCGGGCGTCGTGTTTCCACACAATTTCTCGTTTTCCCAATTTGCAATCGTGCTGATATAACTGTATATCAACACGGAAAATGTTTTATATTTGTTACATGTCTACTGTACCTATAAGCATAAATTACAGTATCATTTCCTCGCGCGTTCCAACGAGATTTTTAATATTCAGGAAATATATAGAAAACATTGTCCGTGTTTCTATACTGTTACAGAAACACGCATGGGATTTTAGAAGAACTAGAAATAATCAGTTGGAAACGTTTTCCAGCGTTATTTTTTTTTCCTTTTGGCAACAGCTCTGAGTGATGGGCAACACCTTTATCCACCGGTGAATAATAAAATCGTTCAGTTATAGCCAAAAATTATGGAGCTTTCTCGTTTCCTTTTCGTTTCTTTTTCTTCGACACATGATGTATAAAAAGATATACTTAATCTGACTAGAAACAGTTTGTTATTTGGACCCTCGACCGCCAACAATGCCAATCTCAGGTCCACAAAACGTTCTGTTTCCTTCGGCCCCAGTCAGGGCCGTCGAGTGGGGTGCAGGGGGGGGGGGCATTTTGCCCCGCGCCCCCAGATCAAAAGGGGCCATCAAAAGGGACCCTAAAAATTTAAGATGATATGAAATAAATTGTAATATATTGTGAAATACCGCTTCTCGCGTTTTACAATTATACGTACAATTATACAATTACAATTTTACATCATAGTTCCCCTGTTAAAGTTTTTCCCCAGGCCCTGCGCAACCTCTCGGCGGCCCTGGTTGGTCGCTACCAACCTCGTCCCCAGGACCTCTCGGCCGCGCGCGTCCTCCCTAGGCCCTGAGACACACAGAACTGGGAGTACAAGAAAAGTTGCAGTAGTTTTAAGGCACATACTCTTGAATTGGGACGCTTTAGCACCCGTAACAATTTTCACAGTGAAGTATTACGAAGAAACGAAGTATTTTGTGTTGATATATACTAAACGTCTGCGAAATAGCATTTCTCTGAGAAACCAATCAGATATCTCGCTTTAGTCGTCTAACCCAGAGCCTAATTTTCAACGAGTGACCGAGTGGAAATGGCTCTGCGGACGAGAATGGGTCGCCACCAACCTACTATGAAGGGACTTTGTGATTGGTTGTGCCAAAAAAAAGATGTGGGTTTCCGGTTTCTTCTCATAAAAACATAGGTAGGATAGGTCGGTTTTAACTTTCTTTTTAACTTTTTTTTAATTTTCCGAACAAGCGGGCGCCATTTTGTTTAGTCAGTGCTTCCACATCCAAAGATAAATTTCCCTAATATTGCCTCAAATTTCAATTTTCCACAAACTTTTTCCTCTAAGTGGAAACACTTACAAGCATGATCCAATAAAAAAGTTTAGGGTCGGGATTTCGGCGTCCAAAAGCTAGGTAGGGTCGGGAAACCGGAAACCCGCATATTTTTTTTTTGCGTTGATGATAACAGTATAGCCCGCGTGCAGGCCCAAGGGAACTGATAGTGGGCCTGCAAGCAAGGCCCGGTATTTTGTAAAACGCCCCTTTTCATAACACGCCCCATTCGCGCGTCAATTGTCAAAAAAGAACCAATGACAGCAACCCAAATATTAACAAACAAACTCGCATTAAAATGTTGCGGGGTTTTCTCTGCTTTAATATTCAAAATAGAAACAATGTGTATTAAATGCCTGTGTCAAAACTAAAAAAAAACAAGCAACGCAGTCAGTAATTGCCAAATTTACAAGTGCTCATTTTCAACTAAAATCGGAACAGGCAAATTAAGACGAATTTCAACAGAAAACCAGTCTCAAACTTCAAATCGTGAGGGAAGTCGTGCGACCACATCAACATTTATAATGTTGCTTCGCTGTCGCGATTGTTATAAATAAATTGTCTCACTTATCAGATCGTGTGTGCAATTCTTGTTGGCGGCGGAAAGTACGAATTGGTGAGAACTCTGATACATTTGGTGATAACTCTACAAAAGAAGAGAGCGTTCAGAGTCCAGATCGTTTCGTTTCAAACGGCAATTTAATACCGTCTTATCTTTTGCTCTCTCAGCGAAGCCTTGTAAATCGCAAAGTATTTTGAATAGGCTTACATCACATGCAACTGCATCTCAACATCAACCAAAAGATAATTTTCTTAAGGAACATATAACGTATCAAGTCTGTTTGAAATTTTAATAATGAAACTCAATTAAAGGTTACTATATGTTGCTATTCCAACACCTCACGACAAGCAATCCTCATTGGCATAACGGCAAAAACATTGCTTCCTTCAAATAAACAATAAACAGTCTGTTCTTGTTCCATTTGTAATCGAAAAAAGTGATCAATTTTCGAATTTTAAGCTTATCGAGAGCCTTTGTCTATGCCTTTGTGATGAATCACTGACCTAATTATAGAATCCAACAGCAAACAGCCAATCAGAATGCCGCGTTCGTGGGCGAACGCGGAAAGTACAAAATACCGGGCCTTGCTTGCAGGCCCACTATCAAGTTCCCTTCAGCCTGCTCCCTTGGGCCTGCACGCGGGCTAATAACAGTAAAAGACAATGAACTATAGAAACTAATCACAGAAGCAAATCACAATATCAGGTTGGTTTTTACCGCCCTGGTCCCAGTCAATAATTAATTGTTAAATGTATTGCTCCAGATTAGTTTTAAGATTGAATGAAACGTTGGTATCTCTGTCTTACAGTCATGGCAATGGAACTGTTCCGGCTAAAATATTCCACCAATTCATTTGCTCGCACGAACCAATTCATTTGAGACGTTTGACCAATTTATTCCGCAACTATGATCATTGCTGGTCACTTCCTGTCTCCTTATGATTGTTGAATTGTACCAAAACCAAAGGTGATGGTGCATTGATGTATAGGACACTTTCATATCACTTCCATTGCCACAACTGTAACTAAAGTTTTCGAATAAAAATTCCCTTTGCAAAGTACAGATTATTTTATAGTTTGTACCACGTTGTTTCATGGGGAGTGCCGTTAATTGTTGCTTGCTTTCCTTTCATTGGCGATCACTATGGACCCGCTGGTGTTTGGTGGTAAATATACCCTTGATTCGTGTGATACACAGTACATGCATATATATATATATATATATATATATATATATATATATAATATATATATATATATATATATATATATATATATATATATATATATATATATATATATATATATATATATATATATATATATATATATATATATATATATATATATATATATATATATATATATATATATATATATATATATGTATGTATGTATATATATATATATATATATATATATATATATATATATATATATATATATATATATATATATATATATATATATATATATATATATATATATATATATATATATATATATATATATATATATATATATATATGTATATATATATGTCGAAGTAAAATATAAATATAATTAGTGCATTAAATTTTCGCTTGCATGTCACAACCTTTGTCAGATATATACAGCGCTGCATGCCACAGTTGCATGCCACAACCGCATATATATATATATATATATATATATACAGTCTATTTCATCCGTATAGGAATCGTAGGTGGTCCTTATACGGATGACATAGACTGTTGTGGTTTTTTGAGGTAAAACGTAATAAAAAAATTTTTTGAATATTTTTTTCATGGTTTTGGCGGTTCTCAGTAGAGTCCCGACATCAATATTAGCTAGAGATACGTATAGTTCCTACGGACGAATTTAGGCAATTTGGTTCAATAATTATTGTGACAACAGACGCCATTTTTGGCACGCTGTACTGGCAGCCTGCAACCACCCGGAGAAAATAGGGTCGCACGGTCAATCGTGTTGAATAAAATAATAGGGTGGGCAGGAAAAATAGGGTCGGTCGGGAAACCGGAACCACAGGTGTTTTATTTTTTGGCCTTGGTATAGCATTGACAATTAAGCCCAGGTCACACCACAACGATAACGATACGATAACTTGTAAACGCGCGATAATTGGTAAAAATATTATGTTGGTGTCCACACTACAACGAAAACGATAAAATTATCGGCGTTTGACGATAACGATTTTAAAATCGCTCATCCGAGCGATTTTTTTCAGTCGGACGATGACGATAAATTTTTTGATCAAGCGCAAAGATAACCTTTTGGCTTTTTTGCTCCCAAAATATGTCGGATGCGTGGAATTTACATGTACAGCTAAAGTTCTTCACGGTTTTAATACTTTGGCAAGTTTTGCTAGTTATTGCTAGAAGGAAAATGTAAGTACGCGAATAGCAAATTTCCGCGTACCTACGTGGTACTTGCCTGAAAACAAAGAAGTACCAGACCATAAATTTGGCGTACATCCGGTACGTTGATACGCGAATTATCGCACCCTGAATTATACCCTCCACAGTATCTGGTGTATAGGGAGATTCCCAAAATTTACGAAGCTTCTATTTTTTAGTTGGATTGATGCCGACAGTTCTAACAGTCAAATATGGCGGTTCACAACGTATGTTAAATTTAATGCTAAATGTTCGTGGCAAAGTTTGCTATATACATAATGTACTATGTTTCACTGTCCCCGTGTTTGTTTTTCATTCTGACTTTTACTGTATATAACGTTGTGAATGATTTATCAACTATAGTATCTTATCATTCTCTCTCCTGTTCAAATTGTTAACGCACTTCATGTACCTGGTTGTTTCCTAACACAAAGGCAACAAATTATATCGATGTTTTCTTTAAATTGGCTTTGCATGGCGTTCATAGTAAAAATAACGAACAATTGTGGTTACACCATGTTTCTCATTTAATTCTGAGCTTAAGTTACATCTAATGACTAATCTTTTACATTTGGGTACCATAAATATCAGGTTTTTTGGGTATCTTAGTGCTGTGCGCCGGAGGGCCGGAGCAGGAGATTTGGCCTATTTTGCCGCAGCCGGAGTTTTTTCAACTCCGGGAGTTTGTTCAACTCCGGCAGCACGTATTTGTGCTGAAAACTACTGTCGGACATCGGCGAAAAAACCTGAATCCATCGACGAAAAAGTAAATACTCGCATTGATACTGCATAGGCTTGCCACAAACATAATACGAAATGTTCATGCGAAATGTTCATATGTTTAAATAAAAAACAAAGATCTGCTTCCACTTCGAATTTTCACGAATTTGCCGGAGCTGGAAATATTCTGGCGGAGCCGGACTTTCTTTCCCAGAGCCAGATTTTTTTGGCCGGAGGTGAAAAACCCGGAGTTTGCACAGCACTATAGGGTGTCTCTCACTGGATCGAACTAAATGTTGAAAGATTTTGCAGATGGACATGTCGAATGTAAATTTTATAAATTCATTAAGACCTGACCAGGAGTAGCTGCGAAAATGCAACTATATAGGCCCAAATCAAACCTGCCACCCAGCCATTCCAGTGCAGCACTCTAAGCTACTGAGGTACAGATTCGATGCAGTTGTCGAACTCTAACCGCAAGTTCATGTATATTCTAAGCTGATATTTATACCCATATACCTTACAATGACATCACCTATATATACATGGAGTTGTGGTTAGAGCTCGAGAACTAAAATTTACTCTCTTGCATTGCATTTCCTGAAAAACTTCAAAAACTGCAAAATCGTGCAGCGAGGGTACTAACATTCTCCAGTTATGACACTAATGCTGATGTTTTAATTGAGAAACTTGGCTGGAGAAAATTATCATCCCAGCGCCAGTTTCAAAAAGCTGTCATGGTCTATAAATCATTAAATGGTCTTGCTCCTGATTACATGTATTCCATGTTTGTAAACCGTGACAGTGTTAATCCTTATTCGCTGCATGAGAAACACTGAGAACAAACTAGCTGTTCCCAAGCCCCGCACAAACTATCTCAAGAATAGCTTTTAATTAGCTATAGTGGTGCGGTGCTGTGGAACAGTCTTCCGATTGGGCTACGGCGAGCAAATAACTTGATAAATTTCCGATCGGGCTGTGCCAAATTATTTTAACTTTCTTTGTATATATTGTTATATTAGCTTAGTACACGGCCCTCATGAAAAGCAGGTATTATATTTTCTATTTAGTGTGGTTCTACTTTTGTAATTTATCTCATTTAGTTTGTTGCATGTTAAATCCTGATGAGAATACCGTGTGTAAATAAAGTTTTAATAATAATAATAATAATTATACCAGTATGTTACTTTTGTGCGTGACGTGTTCTTATTTAGCTTGTTTTAATTAATGAGTATTTTAATCCTAGATGGTATATTCCGTTGTGGTGTTTGCTTGCTCTAATGTTGATTACCTTCATCTATATCGTTGCCAAACTTCGACGAGAGGTGAGATGATATTGCTGATCAGAAAACATAATCGTGCACAAACAAAGAAACAAACGTGCGCAAATAAATAAACCTACATGCGTAGGTGAAACTCCCCAGCAGAGGTACTGTAGCAATATAGGCGAAGGTAACCATGCATGTGAAAACAATTATATTTTCCTAGTGAAGGTAATGAAGAAATATTCTGCCAAACCATTGCATTGTTGAATTGCATAGAATGTAGGGCGGTCAACATTTTTCTCCAAGGGAGGGTGGGTTAGTTGATTGCCCTTTTATAAGTGGCTAGCACATTCGCTGGACCCTTGATCTATCTTTGGTACACGCGTAAAAATCATCATGTTGATGCAAGTTGTTCAAAACAGGAGCGAACAATGTTGTGCTGCACCCCGTGAACAATATTGTCAACAAGTTGTTGAACCATCAATATTGTTGCAACTTGTTGACAATCATGTTAACAAGTTGCAACAGTACTGATGGTTGAACAACTTGTTAACAATGTTGTTCACGGGGTGGAGCACAACATTGTTCGCTCCTGTTTTGAACAACGCCGAACAACATGATCAATTTTTACCCGTGTAAGTACCATCGAGTGTTTACAGGAAAGGCGAAACGAGCTGCTTTTAGCAATCACTTTTATTCAGAGTTAGAGTAATTGTTAAAAGCAGACTTTATGCTCATTATCCTTATTATGCATTATTTTGATTTTGAACTTACAACCACATCTGTTCTGCGTAACCATCAACGATTGTTAAGCTAGTTTTAGGAGGACCTAAAGCCCTAACTTTTTCCGACTGGTACCCTTCCTGAAATCAACTTTGTTTACGCCCTCCTGCCACTACAAAAGCACTAAATAGAACTGAGGTTAGTCCCATGTCTTTATTTCACATAGTTTAATTTTCAGGTGAAACTTTTTATAAGATCTTTTCAAGCTTTGCAATTACATTCGTGACGTCCCCTGATATCAGACCACGAACTTTACGCAATAGTAATGTATATTATTCACAAAAATAATTTTTTGATTGTTTTTCTAACCAGGTAAGTCGATGGGAAGGAACGTACCGAGCTGAAGACGAAAGACAAAAGGTAAGTTGTTATCTATTCTCAAAACTTTATATAAACAAAATTCATACAAACAATGGAAATGTAATTTGATATTATTCCAGTGGCAGATTACCAGTAACGCCTGTAGGCTAAATACAATTCGCGGGCCTTGAGGATAATGCATATCTTCTAGCTAGGTCTGGCAGATTCCGCCAAAATATTTGGAAATTTAAGGTCTCAGGCTAGCTATTTCCTGTGTTCTATACTCTTGCCAATCACAGAGATTAATAAGATTGCAGCAGAAGGAAGTCAATATTTTCAGGCTTACTGTCAACTTCAGCTTCCTCAGCGTCAGGTGTAGTCAGCACCTCGCAACTCTTTCCTCCACAGAAGTTATTAATTGTTCTAGCTTCGGCATCTTTGGGCAGTTCTTGGAGTTAATCAGGATAGGGTGATTATTTTTGTCCAGTGCACCCTATCCCGATCAACTCCGAGAATAGTCCGAAGATGTCAGAAGAACAATTAATAAACACTGCATGTGGAGGAGGCCTATATATAGTAACGTTGCAAGTTCACAAGTGCTGTTGATGCTGACCTTATCGGACCTCTCTTTTGCAAGCTGCGTTGTTTGATTTTATGCAACTAAATTCGGCTATTACTATTGGCTACAGTACAAATGTACAGTGTGTTAGTTTCGAATTACAATAATTTAGATCTTTTTGGCTTAGGGACGAACCGGTACTTGTACTTCCTATATTGACTGCTGTTTGTATTTTTAATGCATGACACACACACGTGGAATACTAGAAAGATACTGGTACAATTACAATCACATATATTAATAACAAGCATCTGATCTTGACTTCTAGAACAATCAGATGGATTACATCCTGTAGTCATGAACATTTAAAAATATTTTCAATCTGCACTCAATATTGAAAAACATTTGTGGGGTCCGGGCCATTGTTCCCTGGGAAAATTTTTAAAACTTAAGGTCGTTTTCCACTAGGCGGAAGTTTCCGCGTGGAGCGAAATTTCTCTTTGTCTTTTCTATAATTAGTTCCACGCGAGAAATCACAAGACAAAGAGAAATTCCGCTCCGCGCGGAAAATTCCGCCCAGGGGAAAACTGACTTAAGGTCTTGGGAACGGCACATTCCTGCATTCTGGAAGACTATTTAGCAGTAATATCTATGCAATATTTAACTTTAAAATTGTTCAGAAAACATGAAGATTTCCACGATTTTTTTTTTAGGAGGGGGTGGGGGGTTGTTGTACACGATATTTTGCCCAGGCTGTGCTCGCATTTTTTTTTGTATTTGCCTAACCACCCCATCCTCAAAAATCCAATGGTCCGTCCCTTACTGTACATGGTGAAAATATGTATTTATTAGAAGAGAAGATACATATCAAACGTTGCTGTGTTTGAAAGCAATATAAATTTCTAATTTGAATACTATAAGGGGAAATAATTGTAATGGGACATTTTTGATACGTGTTTTGTATAACTCTGTTTGCAGGAAATGCTAAAGAAAGACATCAAACTTCTGAGAGCTTATCCTGTGGTATACATGGCGTTGGCTATCTTTCCTTCGATAAATAGGTTGGTTTGGTATACAAATCTGCCTTTATTGATCTATTGTTAACTATAATTTGTGGTCATGTGGGTATAGATAAATATTATGTATGCCAGCAACAAGTGAAATGTTGCCCGTTCCGACCGGATATGCACATGCATATAAATTATCAAAATGGAATAACGTGGAATAATAATACGTTTTTCCAGTTTACGAAAAGGATACAGTATCAAACAGAGAGGATAATACTAAACAGGCAACTGGGGCTGCCAAAACACTTTTTAACAGGTTCTTTTATTAAAATGATACATGCACATTAAAGAGTTTTATGCATGAAATATAATTGTTTTGAGAAATTTGGGAAATACATCGACTTCGTCTCGGGAAACATTGAAACTCAATGAAGTTAATTGAATGTTAGTGAAGCAAGATTTTCAGAAGAGCTCAGAGCTCTGCTCTTTTTATCATTAATAAAAAGGCCGGCTCAACCTCTTTGAGAAAGCAGCATCTGCCTGCTTTCTCACATTTACACACACATTCTCGACAACCCATCTATAGCTACACTGTAGCTTATAAAGGTCGGCACAGAAGGGCCATAATGTACACTTAACGTATGCATGAGAAAAGGCCCTCATTACTGCATGTTATCTATAGTGAATGAGGTTGGGCCAACTATACTCCTGGATGTCCCGCGGGAGACTAGTGCATCGTAGGTTTTCCCCCAGCATGTTAATTTAAGGTGGTATAAATACTGCGAAAGAGTACTAAACAGAAGATTGCTTACATGGGGATAATCATGCACACAAGTGATCGTAAGCCACTCCATTGCAATGTCGTGTTGGTATGTAAATTAGTGATGGGAAGTAATTGTTGTATACTAGAATATTATCTCGAACGGTCTGTGCCAGTGTAAGTAGTGACGATAACTGGAAAGGCTATACTAACTTCCCAACGAAGGGCCTTTGCGCGAAACGTCGGAGATCTGTTTACATTTTTCAGGTAGTTGAATATTAATCCGCAGCTGTAGTAGAATGTGGTCTTCAATTTGCTTGTTTTCGTATTTTTGAAGGATTCAGAACGCGTATGACAAGCATCCGTGGTTCTGGTTGCTCTTATTACACACAATGACGTCTCCTCTAAACGGTATGTTGTCTATAGAATCGAACGTTATATAATAATCTATGTTCAGTCTGCTTTTAATTGGTCGAGAGCCATAATTTTTTTAAGACAGGAGCAGAGATGACGTCATTTCACTGACGAAATTTTTTAAGCCAATCACAATTCTCGCAGAAGAATGACATGAACCAATGACCTGCGCTGTTTTGTATACAGCGACAGAGCTAGTAAACTGGAACACTAACTCCAATGATCAAGGCCTACCGCTCGTCGAAGCCGACGTGCTTGAAGATCAAAGGACTGAAGAGAGTTTTGAAAGGACTGAGGAAAAACTTTGTTAAAAGTTTGTTTTTGAGAAAAATTCTGCACGAAAACTACTTTTTTAATGGGAAGATTTCAATTATTGGGTTTCAAATTTTTGTGTCGAACTAGTTCTGACTGTTTTACATCTATCTTCAGCAAAAATGATATATAAATATACTTCATATATAAATATAGAGCATTTTAATTAACATCCCGAAACTTATTTTGTACAGAACTTCAGGCATGGTTTATCCCTTCTGAAGCAAGAATAAATATGTGCCTTTCTAGTGGTTTTTTCCCCGGCTTCTCATCTTCTTGTTGGTCATTATGATCACTTTCAATATTGCAGCCAAACCAGCTTTTATAATTTGTATTTAACTGTTCAAAATAAGTTACGTAAAAATGAATTCAAAGGCACATGTGTATGTTTTTCTAATCTGTTACTCATGTACTGTATGTTATAATATCTCCAAACTCAACATTTTCGCGCGGTTTTTGAGAAGTATTGTTTTGTTGTTGTTTTGTTGTAATGTTTCAATTAATGCGTGGCTTTGATTTCGTTCATTACTTGAGTGAAATTTCAATTGTCCTAGTATATGCTTTAAAATGGAAAAGGAAAACGTAAACGAAAATTAAAGGGGTAATAACTATTGACACAAAAGTGTATTTTTCAAAAATATTCTAAAAAAGGACTGGCACTACCGAAAAACTTATTATTCCAGTTTACCGTTCGATGATTTTGTGCAGATCGTGGCCACGCCAAATGGTGCGTAAATCTCTTTTTACCGTGCTTCAAAACCCCACAAGTTTTTAGTAAGAGTTTCAGTTACCTATTTTTTCATCTTTTTAATATATAAAACACATAGATGACAAATGGCAACTTTTTTTGTTCTGACCAAATTGGCAATTCCAGCTTTTAGTTTATGCGTGCAGGGGACGATGGGAAGTAAGGTATCATGTTGCTGATTATGCTGAAAAAATAAGAATGGTGGCCGTGTAAACACGGAGTGATAGCTTATACTTGTAAATATTGAAATATTTCGGTTGCTTCGGTAGTTTTTATTGAAATTTTTCAGCATAATCAGCAATATGATACCTTACTTCCCATCATCCCCTGCACGCATAAACTAAAAGCTGGAATTGCCTATTATACGTCATACTGCAGTATTATAACTGAACAGACATTGTTAAATGTTTTACGACGCCATTAACATTACGAGTTTTGAAACGTTTACCGATACCAAACGGCTGCCTTTTTCACGAATCTTTCGCTATTAACTATTTAATTATGGTAAAATTTCAAAATTATTCGAAGATTAAGATATTATAAAAAAAAATAGTACAAAAACAATAAATAGCTCGTGTTCTGTACTCCTCCTCAAACTCTTTAAAGAAAATCACATAGAAGCAAGTTTAAGTTTCTCTGATCAACAACCGGATTAAATAAAGTGTTTTGTTCCTTCAAGGATATGCTGTTCAAGATTTTTAAGACATTATGCCCTCCAATTTGTACCTGTGATGTACTTGACTTATTTTAATATTTTCCATCACATACATATCTAATTGATATTTTCTTGATTTTTTATCTGTATTAGGTGCAATTAACGCTTTGGTATTCACATTTGATCGAGAAACATTAGGGCTACTGACATGGTCTTCTGTGAAGGTAGGGAAACGTGTAATTTGCTGTACATCGTAAAGTATACATTTATCTTATATCGTTGACATTATATAATTATAAAGTCAAGTATAGTGAAATAAGCGAAGGGAAGCATCATATATGTTATATTAATAGTACACACATATGATTTATATTCGTGCATCTCATTGGACGAGAGCCTATCGCGAGAGCGTCTCACGTCTCCAGGCAACAGCTCTGAGCGGTGGACATTATAATATACATTTATTCACAGTCACCGGCGAATAATCGTTCATGGAGCAAAAATTGGAGCTTTCTTGTTCCTTTGACACTTAGTACGTAATACTTTTTGTCGGACTGTGACTTTTAGTAAACAGTATATGTTTGGTGGACCATCCATCGGCTGCCGATGTTCCCTCGGCTTCGCCTCGATATTGGCAGTCTTACGTCCACAAAACATATTGCATGTTTCAATCAATAAGTGTTGTAGGCTATATATTCGATATCCACTGAAATGGTGACCTTTTTCGGTGTGCATTAGAGTGTTGGTCGTTTTTCAGTATTAATCATTTTTCATTATATATGACCCAAACCTGGAAATAATTCTATAGCCTTTGTTGGATCCTATACGCTAAGGGGAAAATAATTTCTTTGAAAACACGGTGGTCATATTACATTTGACAGGACTTAAAGATTCATTCAAACAGCTGTTATAGGCATTAGTTATGCTAACATGTTAACGAAATCCAATGAATTAATTAATTGACGAACACGATAATATCTTGTCTTTAGCTTACTGCCAGGCCTCACGCTTATAATTGTACTGATATTAGCATGATATCAAATTAAGTCGCAATGAACTCTTGTAAATCGCTATAAACTTTAATTTTTGGTATAAAATTTTTTTTATTTAAAATTTGGTCATTGGACAAGCAGGCTACTTGTGTCGGTGATGTAAGACATTGTGTATAATACTGTATATATAGAATGAGAGGACAATCGAAACGTAATTATTTTATATTCGGACTATATATACTTGTGGTGAATATATGTAAAAGCCTAAAGATTAGGAACTAGAACTAGGGGAAGGATTTGGGAGACATAAAAGGAAAAGAGTATTAAAGGGCGAGAGATTAAAATTGAGTATATACAGGAAAGGCAACCTTGTAGGCGTTTCGACTTAACAGTCTTCACCTGGGATTTTGTATAAGGACATGCGTATATACGTAGGTAGAACTTGTAAATAGAAAGAAGTAGAGTATTGAAGTTAGGATGATGGAGGATAAATTAGTGAGAATCAGGAAACATGGAAAAACCTTCAAAAAAGGAAAATTAACATGGAAAAATTAACTGGGCAAACATAACAAAAAGGTTCATTATTAATTTTAGTTGTCTTACCAAAGATTTTGTCGTGGCGGGACATTCCATCACGTAGTTGATCCCACGCGAAAATGTGTTCATAAAGCCATGAAATTTAATAGTGTGTTCACGAATGTATACGCGAACAGTTCATGCTCCGTTCATCAAACATAATTTATCTGCAGTTCGTTAACACGTGTTGATGAAGTGTATAGTTCTTCAATTCTCATCTAATGAACCGTTCATGAACAGTTGATAAATGACAAATTAGTTCATGAACTTTTTGCTTACGCAAATATAGTCGGAGTACAAAATAATTAATTTTTGATAATGGTCTTCTCGTATATATATATATATATATATATATATATATATATATATATATATATATATATATATATATATATATATATATATATATATATATATATATATATATATATATATATATATATATATATATATATATATATATTTATATTTATATTTATATTTATATTTATATTTATATTTATAGGTTTTTGGTGCAGTTGAATATTTTCCAGTGTTTTGCTTATATATACATGTTGTGTACAAATATTTTTGAAATATTGGTTTGTTTCTAATATTACTCTGGGTGCATATGTATCCACACCGGATAGGCTGAAAAGTTTGCCTGACCACGGTGGGAATCGAACCCGCGACCTTTGGGATACTATAGTCCAATGTTCTGCCAACTGAGCTCTGCCAACTGAGGTCAGTTGTAGCTCAGTTGGCAGAACATTGGATTAGTATCCCAAAGGTCCCAGGTTCGATTCCCACCGTGGTCAGGCAAACTTTTCAGCCTGCCTGGTGTGGATACGCACTCAGAGTAACATCAGAAACATTATATTCACCTGAGTACATAACATCAAAACGCACACAAAAGTATCATTGGTTTGTTTTTCTTACTCCAGGACGCCGTGTTTCAGAGAACTCATTTAACAACTCATCTTATTTCGGAGTACACGTTCACGCAGACAACTGGCAGCAGTTCCTCCAGTGCGGCTAGTGTCAATAATGGGCATACAGTCGATGATGAAGCAACCAACGATGATTCGACAACCGTTGAATCGACAACCGTTGACACGAAAGCTTCGAGTATTCAAGCGGATAATCTAGTAAACGATCAGGATACTCCGATAGTTCGTGAAGGTGCTGATAATGTTCGGGAAAGGACAACTTACGGAACCACTGATGTTGTTTAATTTGATCCTGTTTATATATAGACTTTTCCCAAGATTGCTTCGCGTACGTGCCTCGTTCCAGACCTATTATTCGCGGTCTTGGCTACCTCCTCCACAAACAAATAAACAAAATAAACGAAATTCTGCAGGCGTATAGCAGTGCATGCCTGTGGTAGAGATTTTGGTGTTATTATATATGATTTTGTCGATGTTCCATTGTCCGAAAAATGTTCTTGGATGGCTTTGTTCTCTTCCTAGGCATCGGAAAAAATTGAGATATTTTGTAGAGATACGGCAAAAATTAAAAATAATACATGAAAGGAAAGCGTATAGAAAGGTGAACAATATACCTGTAGGTTAAAAATGTCGTGTAAATTACAGAAATTAGTCGAGTGACAGCACAATTTCGAAAATGTACTAACCAAAACCGCCTGAATTAATGTGGTCTGAC